GGCGGCAGGGGAAGAAGGCGGCAGGGGATGAAGGCGGCGGGGAAGAAGGCGGCAGGGGATGAAGGCGGCGGGGAAGAAGGCGGCAGGGGAAGAAGGCGGCGGGGAAGAAGGCGGCAGGCGAGAAGCGCCAGGGGAGGAGGCGGCAGGGGAGGAGGCGGCGGGGGATGATGGCGGCAGGGAAGGAGGTGGCAGGGGAGGAGGCGGCAGGGGATTAAGGCGGCGGGGGATAGAGGCGGCAGGCGATAAGGTTGAAGGGGGATAAGGTTGAAAAGGAAGATCTTCTAGAGGCCGCAGTGGAGAAGGTGGCCGCTTCCAAACAATAGCTACATCATCCTTCGGATACATAGAGCCTTAGGCTCCCTTACTTGTCGTTCGTATTCATAGCTTAAGATGCTAGTCAGCTGCAGGATTTCGTGAATGGGTTCTTGTCAGGTGTATTGCTGTCTTAACGTGGCCAGACTTGCCTCAACCGCTGTAGTTATTTTTACTGAAGTGATACCATAGAGAATGAACTCTTCCGGATTCCACTCAGGTTCGAACCTGAATTCAAATCTAAGCTATGACGGTTATTTTGGGCTGGGATTCTGGGATAAATGAAATTACCAACGTACGCGTGGCCTCTTCATTTCTGTTCTCCTGGATGGTTGATATGGGAAGGCGGAAACAAGTTGCTAAGGGTCCTTACACTGCAGAAAAACACAACCCCAGCCCCACGGCCACTATACCCCCCTCGTGCTGCCCACCAATGCCCTCAGCGGGGCAACACGCGCATGACGCATAAACCTATCCAAAGAACTTCGAACTCAGACTCTCATGTGGCGACATCTATAGAGGTAGCTACCTCCTGAACCCGGGAAAATCCCTGCAGGTTAAGCTGACTAGTTTCCCCCTACACCAAGCACTATCCCTTCTGAGCTCTCAAGGCCACACTACTAGGCTAAAAGACTCGACCGAACCAACACCGTCCCGGCCCGCCGGCTGTCCAGCCGCCCCTCAGCGGCCGTTTGCCACAAGCCTGCAGCTGGCAGAGCCTGGCGCGGAGGCGTCTGCGATTGACCGGCGAAGAAGGGAAAGGGAAACTTGTTAATCCACGATTGATTTCTTTTCAGAACTAGCCAGAGACACAATGGATTTCAAGGTAAATTGCGTTCCCCAATCCACTTCGAACTGTATGAATGCGAATGAATAATCTTATTAGGGACAATAATACGGCACGGGAGTTTCATGCCCTCAAAGCGGGAACAAACGCTAAAACTGAATACATACATAGTTCTAAATCTTCTACTAAAATTTTCCTGTAGCGTTAGAGGCCTTTAATTCATATTGGCGAACGATGCTTCCCGAGCTACCGGGATACTGTAGGTTCAACATGTACATGTAACATGTACATTTATAGAAATGTACTAAAATGAATTCACGAAGTGCGCAGCAAATAAGATGAGTAGCCTATAGGCCCATGTCCATAGTCCAGGGCAACGGAGGGGGTTACCCTGGGGCCGTGTTACCCCTCCTGCTGGGTAGGAACTTACAAGGGGGTTACCAATGGGCTACGGGGGGTTGAAGGTGGGTAACCGATGGGTAACCCATGGGTTACCGACCCAATCAGTGCCTTAGGGTCAGCCTCCACCAACGAAGCCGCCACAGTACGTTGAAGTTGGCTGCTCCAGCTAATCGCAGCCCCATTAAGAGTGAATACGTAACCAGACGTAGAACGCCGCGTAACTGGGTCTCCTGCCCAGTCCGAATCACTGTACCCGGACATTGCAACACTGCCAACTATTGAAGAATTGGCGACGGTGACGGCTAACGCAGATTGTTATCTCGGAAGAATTGCCGGTGGCGAAGATATTTAGCACGATAAAATGTTACAAGTAATGTAAAGAGTATTATTAGCGTTCGGCAGGACTTGAGGAGATTCCTATGAGGAATACCGATCGTAGTGAGATAAACAAATAAGCGCAGTCACCACCCTAAATACCGGCGCTAGCAGAAAACTCGTACATTCCGCGATCTAACTGCACGTGCATTCTGCGATCTCACTGCGCCGTCCTGACGGTGCCCTAATGTCTATCACTTAGCTACCGGATATCATCGGTAGCCCATAAGGTTCTGGGGTAAGTCTTCCCCATTAGTTAGGCGCAGACCCGGGGTCAAATCCCCTGGTCGACAACCACACGAGTTGGGAGAGGACTGTTTCCTCAACACACCCCCTCGGGCCGTATCCCAACGAGTACCAAGTTCATCTGCACGCTTCACACAAGGCCCATCGCATATCGGCAACGTTTGAACTTCACCTCGCCCAGAGCCTTCGTTAGCACATCCGCAACCATCCACTCCGTAGGGCAGTACTCCAACTGCACCTCACCGCTATTCACCCTCTCATGCACTATGTGATGCTGCACGTCGATGTGCTTCGACCGAGCAGACGTAATCGGGTTATTTCCTAAGCTAAGCGCCCCCTGGGAATCTATTTGGATCTTGATAGCGCTCTCAGGAAAACCCAAATCGACCATCAGCTTGCGAAGCCACAAAGCCTCGCGAACAGCTGCAGTTGTCGCTTGATACTCGGCCTCCACCGACGAAGCCGCCACTGTACGTTGAAGCTGGCTGCTCCAGCTAATCGCAGCCCCATTAAGAGTGAAAACGTAGCCGGAAGTAGAACGGCGCGTAACTGGGTCTCCTGCCCAGTCAGAATCGCTATACCCGGACATAGCAACGTCGCCAACACCCCCAAAACGCAATCCTAGTTCGCGAGTACCCGCCAGGTAACACAGAACGCCAATTGCTAAGTTCATAGCACTCTTCGTGGGTGCGGCCATATGCCGGGACAAGACGCTCAATGCATACGAAATGCCAGGCCGCGTGTTCGTCGCTAGGTAATTCAACTCCCCCACCAAAGCCCTATACTCGGTGGGATCGCCCAGCAGCTCCTCTCCGTCCCCCGTAGGAGTGTACCTAAAGCCCGGAGGCAAAGGGGTAGACCTCGGCTTGGCGTCAACCAACTTATGACGCTCCAATAGCTGCACAATATACCTATGCTGCGACAACACTATCTCACCCGACTTCTCCCTCCTAATTTCCATGCCCCAAAACACCTTCGCTTCTCCAAGGTCACGCACGTTGAAGACCTTAGCAATTGCAGCTTTAATTGCCCGGACCATTTCCGGGTCTTCCGACGCAACAATGGTATCATCTACGTGCACTAAAGCAATAACAACCCCACGCTCGTCAGTCTTAACAAACATCGCCGGATCAGACTTCGAAGGATAAAGACCTAGTTTGGCGAACTCTGCTGATAGTTTTTCATACCAGCAACGGGGTGCCTGCTTCAACCCGTAAATAGACTTCTGCAGCTTGCACGCAAGCGACCGGTCACTGGATGCATACCCAGGCGGTTGCTCCATCCACAATTCCGCCTTCAGCTCACCGTTCAAAAACGCAGTAGACACATCGAGCTGATGTACCGTCATATTCCGGGCTGCGGCAACAGCTAACAAAGCACGCAATGATGAACCACGAGAGGTAGGGGCAAACAACTCCCCATAATCAATCCCCTCACGTTGCTCGAAACCCTTGGCAACTAAACGCGCCTTAAAACGCTCTACGTTGCCGTCTGCATCATGCTTCACCTTATACATGTTGAGGAAACGATCCTCTCCTAACTCGTGTGGTTGTCGACCAGGGGATTTGACCCCGGGTCTGCGCCTGGCTAATGGGGAAGACTTACTCCAGAACCTTATAGGGCTACCAATGCATATTCGGTAGCTAAGTGATAGACATTAGGGCACCGTCTGGACGGCGCAGTGAGATCGCGGAATGTACGTGCAGTTAGATCGCGGAATGTACGAAGTTTCCGCTAGCGCCGGTATGTACGAAGTTTCCGCTAGCGCCGGTATTTAGGGCGGTGACAGCGCCTATTAGTTTATCTCTCAACGATCGGTATTCCTACCAGGAATCTCCTCAAGTCCTGCCGAACGCTAACAATACTCTTTACATTACTTGTAACAGTTTATCGTGCTAAATATCTTCGCCACAGGCAATCCTTCCGGAATAACAATCAGCGTTAGCTGTCACCGTCGCCAATTCTCCAATAGGATATGAGCCCCGAAAGGCGCATTGCGCTGCCGAAAGATCGCCGGATCGATACCCACTGGCTGTTGCCCAGAGAATGGGGGACCGGGATGAGGCACGGGAAGGCCCGTAGCGAGAGAGTGTCGCTCACGGGGGGTGTTGGAAATGACCGACACTAATGTACCAGTGAATGGTAGCCACAGTAATAGGACCCAGCTTTGCTGGTCTTAACAGGTTATGAGCCCCGTTTAGCGCCGACAGTTATCGCCCAATTGTTATTTCTATCCCTCATCAACAATGGTTAAGGACAAGCTTGATGAGTCGCTGGATCTCAACAACTACTCTACCTGGCAAATTCGGTTCAGCACGTTGTGCATGGAGCTTGGGCTTGAGCAATCCCTGCTCGCCGAGCCGTGCAACAAGGAGCAAATTCGACAGTCACGGAAGGTCATCAATCTGCTCATCAAGAACGTCAAGGATCATCATTTGCCGATGGTTACCGGTGCTGCCAACGCGAAGAAGGCCTGGGACGCCTTGGGATCTATGTTTGCTGCCAACAACAACGCCCGCAAGGTATCTCTACGTCAAGAATTCAGCCGTTTTAAGATGGTCGACGGCGAACCTCTTCCGATGTACTTTGCGCGTGCAAGGCAGCTGCAAACAGATTTATTGGGAGTCGGCCACGTAGTTAACGACTCCGAGCTGGCGTACACCGTGCTAGTTGGTCTACCCAGTCGGTACAGCGTGGTGACGACTACATTACTTATGCGCGACGGCGATTTGGACATGGCGAGCGTCACAGCAAAGCTTCTCTCTATCGAGACGGCTAACGGTGGGTCGGGCAAGCCTACCGAGTCGGCAGCCTTCGCGTCTGTCGGCGGTTCGACGTTCGGCGCTTCTACTTCTGGTTATGGTAGCCGGGGGCTGGCTAACAACAGCTCGGGACATAGTCGGAAGCAAGTCATCTGCTACTACTGTAATAAACCTGGGCACGTGGTTAAGGACTGCAGGCAGCTTAAGGCGCTGAAGCAGTCGTCAAATTCTGGCTACAAGGGTGGCTACAACAACAGTGGTAACGGAGGTAGTGGCAGCGGAGCTAGCGGCAGCAAGCCAGGATCCGGTGGATCAGCTAGGGGGCCAGGAGTTCCGCGGCAGGTAGCATTCGTGGCATACAACAGCAATCGTCCGACGGAATGGTTTCTGGACTCAGCCGCCACTCACCACATAACGTATGACCGCTCAGAACTTTTCAACGTGCGGTTGTTGGAGCCGTGGGAGCGCTTCAACATCATGGGCATCAAGGGACAATCT